TAGGAACATAATTGGGGCCAATGTGCTACACAGAAAAAAAGAAGTGCATGACATTCTTTCCCATACTCTTTTGCCTCTGGTGTCCATTTAGGGCCAGATTATGATACCCTTACTTATGTTGAATAGTACCATAACACTCCAAGATCCTACTGAAGGCAGTGGAGCCATTTCTGGAGTAAGGTATGTTACGATAATTGGTCTATAAATTTTACCTGCTTGGGAATTAACCATGAAAAGAAGGCCAATTTATTTAAAATAAAGAATGTTATAAACAGGTACAAGAAAACCATACAGAGAGACTGAATTAGTCCAAACGATAAAGGCCTACCGATATGGTTCAATGACTGTGCTGAGATTGGATTTAATAAGCAAATGTGAGAACGAAGTTGTCTATGCCAAGTTTACGAAAACAGATTTAACTGGTGAACAAAATAATGAGGGAATGAACCAGGGGGTCACCCAATGAAATTAATAGCCAATATGTTTAAAACAAACAAAAGGAAGTACTTTTTTACACAATGCATAGCAACCCATGGAACTTGTTGCCAGAGAAATATTGTGAAGGCCAAAAGTATAACTGGGTTCAAAAAGAAATAGATAAGTTAATGGAGGGTAGGTCCATCAGTGGCTACCAGCCAAGATGGTCAGGGATGCAATCCTATGCTCTGGGGCTATGGCTACACGACAGAGCACACAGCGGCGGAGCTGCACTGCTGCAGTGCTGCTGGTGCAGATGTTCTAAGCCGACAGGAGAGAATTCTCCTGTTGACTTAATTGCTCCAGCCCCCGGGAGTGGTGGTAGCTATGTTTGCAGGAGAAGCTCTCTCACCGACATAGCGCTGTCCACACCGGCACTTAGGTTGGTGTAACTTACATTGTTCGGGGGGTAGCTTATTCATATCCCTCATGTAAGCTGTAGTATGTACATAAACTGGGTGTCCCTAAGCTTCTGACTGCCAGAAGCTGGGAGTGGACGACAGGGGGATGGATCACTCGATAATTGCCCTCTTCTGTTCATTCCCTCTGAAGCGTAGGCCACTGTCGGAAGACAGGATTTGAGGCTAGATAGACCATTGGTCTGACGGCTGTTCTTATGTTCTTATCTCATCTTCCCTGACATCAAGACATAAGGAACAGACCAGACTGAATGATTGTCTTCCAGACAGGAAGGCCACCAGTCTTTGCTCTTGTGTAAGGAACTTTGTTTTTCATCTGTGAGACCTGAAAGTCACTATATCATCATGACATCCAGTCCTCAGCCCATAAGGGGGGATACCTAATTGTCAGCACCTCAGAAGCCCAAAAGATCCTGTTCTGTCTTCCTTTTCCTTTTGTGTTACTTTCTACCCAACTATTTCATAGAATCATAGAATAGAATATCAGGGTTCGAAGGGAACTCAGGAGGTCATCTAGTCCAACCTCCTGCTCAAAGCAGGACCAATCCCCAACTAAATCATCCCAGCCAGGGCTTTGTCAAGCCTGACCTTAAAAACATCGAAGGAAGGTGTCATAAATATAAAGGGAAGGGTAAACCCCTTTGAAATCCCTCCTGGCCAGGGGAAAGCTCCTCTCACCTGTAAAGGGTTAAGAAGCTAAAGGTAACCTCGCTGGCACCTGACCAAAATGACCAATGAGGAGACAAGATACTTTCAAAAGCTGGGAGGAGGGAGAGGGACAAAGGGTTTGTGTCTGTCTGTGTGCTGCTCTTGCCAGAGACAGAACAGGAATGGAGTCTTAGAACTTTTAGTAAGTAATCTAGCTAGGTATGTGTTAGATTATGATTTCTTTAAATGGCTGAGAAAAGAATTGTGCTGAATAGAATAACTATTTCTGTCTGTATATCTTTTTTGTAACTTAAGGTTTTGCCTAGAGGGGTTCTCTATGTTTTGAATCTAATTACCCTGTAAGATATCTACCATCCTGATTTTACAGGGGGGATTTCTTTATTTCTATTTACTTCTATTTTTTATTAAAAGTCTTCTTGTAAAAACTGAATGCTTTTTCATTGTTCTCAGATCCAAGGGTTTGGGTCTGTGGTCACCTATGCAAATTGGTGAGGCTTTTTATCCAACATTTCCCAGGAAAGGGGGGTGCAAGTGTTGGGAGGATTGTTCATTGTTCTTAAGATCCAAGGGTCTGGGTCTGTAGTCACCTAGGCAAATTGGTGAGGCTTTTTACCAAACCTTGTCCAGGAAGTGGGGTGCAAGGTTTTGGGAAGTATTTTGGGGGGAAAGACGCGTCCAAACAGCTCTTCCCCAGTAACCAGTATTAGTTTGGTGGTGGTAGCGGCCATTCCAAGGATAACGGGTGTAATATTTTGTACCTTGGGGAAGTTTTGACCTAAGCTGGTAAAGATAAGCTTAGGGGGTTTTTTCATGCAGGTCCCCACATCTGTACCCTAGAGTTCAGAGTGGGGGAGGGAACCTGACAGAAGGAGATTCCACCGCCTCCCTAGGTAACGCATTCCAGTGTTTCACCACCCTCCTAGTGAAAAAGTTTTTCCTAATATCCAATCTAAACCTCCCCCACTGCAACTTGAGACTATTACTCCTTGTTCTGTCATCAGCTACCACTGAGAACAATATAGATCCATCCTCTTTGGAACCCCTTCAGGTAGTTGAAAGCAGCTATTAAATCCCCCCTCATTCTTCTCTTCCGCAGACTAAATCATCCCAGTTCCCTCAGCCTCTCCTCATAAGTCATATGTTCCAGTCCTCTAATCATTTTTGTTGCCCTTCGCTGGACTCTTTCCAATTTTTCCACATCCTTCTTGAAGTGTGGGGCCCAAAAACTGGACACAGTACTCCAGATGAGGCCTCACCAATGTCGAATAGAGGGGAATGATCACGTCTCTCGATCTGCTGGCAATGCCCCTTCATATACATCCCAAAATGCCATTGGCCTTCTTGGCAACAAGGGCACACTGTTGACTCATATCCAGCTTCTCGTCCACTGTAATCCCTAGGTCCTTTTCTGCAGAACTGCTGCCGAGCCATTCGGTCCCTAGTCTGTAGCGGTGCATGGGATTCTTCTGTCCTAAGTGCACAACTTTGCACTTATCCTTGTTGAACCTCATCAGATTTCTTTTGGCCCAATCCTCTAATTTGTCTAGGGCCCTCTGTATCCTATCCATACCCTCCAGCGTATCTACCACTCCTCCCAGTTTAGTGTCATCTGTGAACTTGCCGAGGGTGCAATCCACACCATCCTCCAGATCATTTATGAAGATATTGAAAAAACCGGCCCGAGGACCGACCCTTGGGGCACTCCAGTTGATACCGGCTACCAACTAGACATGGAGCCATTCATCACGACCTGTTGAGCCCAACAATCTAGCCAACTTTCTATTCACCTTATAGTCCATTCATCCAGCCCATACTTCTTTAACTTGCTGGCAAGAATACAGTGGGAGACCATGTCAAAAGCTTTGCTAAAGTCAAGGAGCAACACGTCCACTGTTTTCCCCTCATCCACAGAGCCAGTTATCTCGTCATAGAAGGCAATTAGATTAGTCAGGCATGACTTGCCCTTGGTGAATCCATGCTGACTGTTCCTGATCACATTCCTCTCCTCTAAGTGCTTCAGAATTGATTCCTTGAGGACCTGCTCCATGATTTTTCCAGGGACTGAGGTGAGGCTGACTGGCCTGTAGTTCCCAGGATCCTCCTTCTTCCCTTTTTTAAAGATGGGCACTACATTAGCCTTTTTCCGGGACTTCCCCCGATCGCCATGAGTTTTCAAAGACAACGGACAATGGCTCTGCAATCACAGCCGCCAACTCCTTTAGCATTCTCGGATGCAGCGCATCCGGCCCCATGGACTTGTGCTCATCCAGCTTTTCTAAATAGTCCCGAACCACTTCTTTCTCCACATTTTTACTGCTATCCTCTCTCTCACTTTTTTGGCTTTTCATCAGATCCTAAGATCAACAGAACTGCGCACATCAGCACAGCGAGATGAGATAGCCCATTCATCCACTGCCCTGTCTGAGCAGAAAAGACCCAACCAGATGATGTTCCTGACAGGAATGTGATTCAGGGTCCAGTGAACAGATGTTGTGGCTGACCTGCCAGCCTAAAGCATCCATTTGTGACCGACCAGCCCACCTAAGTGTCCCCAGAACATCAACAAACACTATATTTCCGCCACCTTTTCTATCCTCTCTCTCTTCCACCTTGTGTTTGTCTGTCTGTTAAAAGCAGAAGTGAATACCCTTCATACATCAGGACTGAGAATAAAATTAACCCTTTCCTTTTCATCAAAGAAAGGCTGTTGGTAAAAATAAGACACTCTGAGATTTTGTCTCCAAAAAAAAGAAAAAGAGTTAATAGGTTTTAATTGTTTGTACTGTGTAATCACTCAATTTTGGTTTCAATGTAAATGCTTGTTTTGATTTCTTGCTCTTTTTTGTGATTGATCAATAAACTTCCAACTTTAGAATGAATGCTTTTGGATGTTTGCCAAGAAACTGAGTAAACCAGGGTCTCTATGGACCCCCCTCCCCATGAACTTTTGTAATACTGTTTCAATGTTGGACAGTGAAAGAGTTTATAACACCTTTAACTCTTTTGGCCCTAGAGATCAATACAACAGGTACTAATTGGTTTCACTAAGATATCTGAATCAGGCCTTCTGGGTTTTGTATAAATAATGACTTCCAGTTCTTTTCAAGGGCAGCCCCAAGTGGATCACATTGTTATCGTGCAGGCTGGAAGTGACAAAGATGTGGGTGACATCTGCCAGGTTTACATTAGAGTACAAGTTACAGCTTCCTGGCCTTAGATTAAAAAGGTATCACAATTCATCCACCCCACATCAAGAATTCAACAGCAGTGATGGGACCAGTAAAGCCTCAAGTCAGCAATCAGAAAAAGAGTGAACAAGCCTCACAGCTGAAGATGCAGACAACACTTGCATATTTGCCTAATATTTCCCTCCAACTAGCATGACTTCCATCTTATATGAGTTACAGCCAGTTTGCTCTCATTCCAATCCTTTTCTTAGTCAAACTCTGGGAAAGCAGACACCTCAGAATCTGCATCCAAGAAGAAGACATTGTAGAGCTGAATCAGTCAGTACACAGATGAAAATGCAGTTCCTGAGGCCTAGTATGAGCTTTCAGACAGTTCCATAGAGTTTGTTTATACGCCACTTCTCTCGCATGTTCATAGTAAGTGAGAAGTACCAGTGTTAGTTAACAACAGTGAAACTCCTTCCCATCCTGGTTTCAGACTGCTGTATTTGATAAATATCTGTTAATAACAATATCTAACTTATCCAAGTTCCAGGGAAAGCCTAGCCATTAAAAAGATAATAGTTCAATGTGGAGAAAGAGACGTATCCCTGATACGTATTAACCAGGAGAGTTTAGGATAAGATGGTAGGGGCAGAGAGTAAGGAGGTGATCCCACTTTATCTTTCAACCTTCTGGTGGCTGCTTTTTCTGGTACACTCCCTTCAGATGTAAGTTATGTTCATATTGCACATCCAGTGAGTGCCTAGTTGGAGCAAGGTACATTACTTTACCACCTACCACCCATAGGCAGTTTCTGCCAGCATAAGTCACTGAGGAATGTGTCCTAGAAGTTTCTTTGGAAGATGCACCTGCTTTCACCAGTTCTAAATTTGACCCACTGATTAATTACTTAAAATTAATAAAAAAAAAACTAGATAAGTTCATGGAGGATAGATCCATCAATGGCTATTAGCCAGGATGGGCAGGAATCAAAACCATGCTCTGCAGTGTCCCTAGCCTCTGTTTGCTAGAAACTGGGAATGGGGAACAGGGGATGGACCACTTGATGATTCCCTGTTCTGTTCATTCCCTCTGAAGCACCTGGCATTGGCCACTGTTGGAAGACAGGATACTGGGTTAGATGGACCATTGGTCTGACCACTATGATCGTTCTTATGTTCTCTTCACCACGTTCCTGTGAGGTATGGTTAAATATTATTTCTCTTTTAGAGATGGGAAAACAGAGCCACAGAGAGGACTTCCCATGGCTACAAAGGAGTTATTGTCAGGGCCAAGATGAGATCTCAGAAGTTCCTAGTTTCCAGGCCTGCTCTCACACCATTAGATTTCAACTCTTTCTCTAAAATGTTTGGAATGGTATTAACAAATATGGGAGGATTAAGCAATGGTGAGATGTAGTATGGTTAAATTATGGGAAAAGAATGAAAGGTGGGGTGTGTTGTTGTTGTTTTTAAGAACAGATGGAAAAATACAACCTTAAGAGAGAACAAAGGTCTCAGAGATAAAGAAAAAGAGTGATCAACTGGAAGAAGAGAAGATAAAAATTCCAGAAGCAGCAAGAGACAGACTGTGCAAGGGAAGACCCTAGCAGCCAAGAAAAGCAGAACCTACAGAAAAGAAGGACATAAACAGAAAATATAAACATCAATCCATAGTGCTTTACTCAAGGACACAGCCAAGATCAATCCACCCAAAGCTGCTGCAAATCTGATGTTACTAATTTATATATGAGTAAATTACCAAATATAAGACTTTATCTAGTTAGAATCTGTTATTTAATTGATTATTGCTTAAATGGTGTTTTACAAAAGGTTTTTCAAATCTTTCACAAAGCAAATTTCCAAAACAAGATTCAACATGCTACATGTTATTATACTCAGAAGAACATGAAACATGTTGTTTCCCCTAGAGCAGATACCACAAAACCAAACTTAAGAACTCACTGGTTTGGAGGAGATTTGGTACAGATTGGAGGTCACTCGTTTGGCGTGTGAGAGCAATGTATGTAAGCTCCCGCATTCAGACTATATGTTTTAGAGTCTGCCAAGCCAAACTGGCAAGAGAAAGAAAGGTTACCCACTATACAAATATAACTCGTGGAAGTGAAGTCTGGAGGCTCATCAGTGAAACAAATAAAAAGATTGGGGGGGAGGGATAGCTCATGGGGGGAGGGATAGCTCAGTGGTTTGAGCATTGGCCTGCTAAACCCAGGGTTGTGAGTTCAATCCTTGAGGGGGCCATTTAGGAATCTGGGGAAAAAATTGGGGATTGGTCCTGCTTTGAGCAGGGGGTTGGACTAGATGACCTCCTGAGGTCCCTTCCAACTCTGATATTCTATGATTCTATGATTGGCAACAGCAGACAAACTGATGTTGATGTAACAGAAGATAGAGAAGAAAGTGAACTGTCTCGAGTGCTTAGTTTTTCACAGCACTTACCATTTGGAGTCGGAGGGGGCCCACTGTCAACACTTCCTCCAAATCCTTTGTATTTACAGTCTGGAGGGGCCCACCCAAAATCACAATGGCAGTTTCGGTTGCTATTGCACACCTGAAATAAAATAAATGTATAAATGGCATGAAACAATAAAATCTAATGGATAGCATTATTGAAGGGCTAATATATGAAAAATTGTAATTTTATTGAATCATGTTGAAAGCACACAGGAGAAAGACAGGTAGCAAGAAACCAACAGCAGAGTGCATATGGGACAGTTGTTTTTTTCCTTCTCTCTGTACTATAAAAAGTAGAGACCTGGGTATTCTTATCTTGGAGGAGAATCTTTTACTGTCAGAGCCAGGTGAAGCTGGCTATATTAACCTGTAGTTCTTGAACTCCACTTGTTGCCATTCCAGTGCTTCTGTTTCTATTTTTCCACTGCACCATCTGGTGCTAGGAAAGCGGGAGTTGGCTCACTGACTGATTTAAAGTGGAGGAGGATCCATGGGATTTATAAGCAGGTTTTCTACTTCTAGGAGTAAACTGAGGTCAGAACACAATGCTAGTTGTTATCATTTAACATTTATTTTGCAGAAGTGCCTAAAGGAGACAAAGAAGGTTGGGACACCATTGTGCTAGGTGCTGTACGAATGTGTAATAAATGACAGTCCCTGCCCCAAAGAGTTTGGTTAGACCTTGGTTAAACTCAGGTTAATACTCAGTAGTATGGTGACCTTAGATCAGACCAGAAATGAGCCAGATGTTTTTTACACTGTAAAATTGGGTTTTAAGAAAGGATGATTCTTAGTGAAGGTACTACTAATGGTCTAGCTCAGAAGGGAGCATGTACATCCTGTCATACTATCATCTTGTTCTTGTTTCAGTTTCCTATTTGTGTGTGATTTAAATAGTAATTGCATCTGTGGTCTGCATGGGTCTCCTTATACTGCTGGACTTAAACTCCTGTGAACCTCAGGATGAAAAATGTCCAACTGTAGATGGGTAAGTAATGAAGTAACTGTGCGCATTGCTTTTTAGTGGCTGATTGACAGAGGATATGCGATCCACGTCCATTATTAGCTGCTACAGGAGCTCTCCTATAGCTCAAGTGGCAGAGGCAGGTGAGGACTTTTGGAGTCAAAGGATCAGGGTTCTGGTTCTGTTTCTAGTCCCAGCCCCCAGGGCCTTATAGCCATGTCTAGAAGGTATCTTATATAGTCTGTGCCATGCTGGGGCTTTGGGCAGTTTATCAGGAATCCAGGTTACTCCAGTTTCACAGAATTGATGACATTAAAAAATTGTTCATATTTATGTGTATCACTACAGCAAAGTATTTCATTGGCATTTGAGATTTTCTGTTCCTCAGTATCATTTATTCCAAAAGTATCTGAAATACCCACATTCATCTCTCCGTGATTCCGCCTAGACTTTTGGTGTGTACAGCTAAGCTATTACCTAGAGTAGACAAGCCTTTATCCTGCATAGCAAATTTCCTCTTTAAAATTAGCATGGGATGGGTTCAATCTTACTGTGGAGGGCAATCTTTTATCTGAGGTTTTCCCATTCAACTGACACTCTAGAGGTGTTCAGTCTCTTCAGTAAGAAAGTCATAGAACAAGCGTTGCTGGTCATAGGACTGTCACAAAATACAGGATTTGTAAACATTCCTATGAAGTCATCTAGAAATGCCATGCCATTAAGAGCAAGGGAAGTTACAGTTCTATCATTTTCTTGTTGATGATGGAATGAAAGTTGTTGTGGGGAGAAAACAAGAGAGAATAAAGAAGAGGAGACATGGTTGTATGTGGATGGGAAGCTTGGTCAAAAGGAATAAAACTAATGAAATACTTTGCCCCTTCCATCTGAGGATCTCAGTGCACTTTAACTGAGGTTTGCAAACCTCACACCCCTCTGTGAGGAATGTATTACTGTATCCAACAATAAACCATGGAGTCCTAGGGGACAGCAATGGCCCAAAATGCCTTTTATCACCTTCAGCTGGCCTGAAGATTATGATCTTTCTTATCTAAGGCAGACCTCACCTCAGTTATCAATATCTCTGTCTGGCCCATGCTGGATGACTGTATTGTGCTTCATTTAGTGCTATTCTGGAACCTTCATCTAGTGCTATGAGAATGTAACACCCGTGTTTCTTGCTCTGCACTGACTGCCTAGCTGATTGTAAGTGCAATGCATAGAAATAATTTATTATCTATAAAACCTATAAGGCATGAGACCTGACTGCTTTGGAGATCTTACTACATCATGTGTCATACACTGTAGTGGCTTTTCATCAGATGGAGCACAAGACAGCTAATGTGAAACATAGCTTCTGAGAGAACTAATTCCAGTGTTTTATTTATTACATTTTAATATACAAGGGATGTTCCAATCTTTGCTACTTACCCCTCTACCACTGCATTTTTTGTCATGACAGTCATAATTCAGAACTGTTATATTGACACATGTCCTGTTTATACATATCTGTAAAAGTTCACACATAAATATACGTTAGATAATGGAATGGCAGTAGGAAAGCCTGTATTCTGACTGATTAATAGATGTGGAAACCACATCGTGAGTCAAAAAGAAAAATTAGTGGTAAATAATTGTTTTTTCAAAGTTTCACTGCATTCTTGGCACCAAAGCCGAGCCCTCCGGAAAGTAGCAAGCATAAAGGCTGTGAATGTGCTCATTTGCAGAATGGTGTTCCTTCCACTTCATCAGAATCTATATCAGAGATGCCGAAGAAGTGGGGAGGGTGGATCTATATAGACCAGGGGTAGGCAACCTATGGCACGTGTGCCAAAGGTGGCACACGAGCTGATTTTCAGTGGCACTCACACTGCCCGGGTCCTGGCCACTGGTCCCAGGGGCTCTGCATTCTAATTTAATTTTCAGTGAAGCATCTTAAACATTTTAAAAACCTTATTTACTTTACATACAACAATAGTTTAGTTATATATTATAGACTTATCGAAAGAGACCTTCTAAAAATGTTAAAATGTATTAATGGCACGCGAAACCTTAAATTAGAGTGAATAAATGAAGACTTGGCATATCACTTCTGAAAGGTTGCCAACCCCTGATATAGGCAGTCTACTCAAAGAATCAGTTTCTAGAAAATAACATTTCTCCTTTAAGTATTTTTAGTGTAAAACCTTGCACTATAGGTAGCTCTCTTGAAACATTACATTTAAATTTCTTATCTTTCTCTGTTACCCTCTCAGTGCAGTTGGTCACATTTAATAATTTTTGGACAGTATTTGACTAGTTCAGTATTTCAAGCATTACTCAATAGGTGCAAACCTGTTATTTTATATCCTATGCCTTTTGCAAGATTAAGGTCAATTCCTGTTGGGGAGATTCTCTGTCGTGAAGCTGCTCCTTAGGTATATCATATTGACATCTAGGATTAAGTTTTGTACTTTATAAATCAATTGATCATTGAAGATTATATAGGAAGGTGAGAGCAAGGTGGTGAGCAGCTACTGGGTCAGATGGGGAATCAACCTGGAAACTGAAATACCTAGGATAATGGTGGCAAATTGAGATGAGAAGAAAAAAGGTGAGCCAGGCATCAAAAAGAGTGGTTACTTCCCTTACAGTAATTGTGATTCTTTGAGAAGTTCTGCACATGTGGATCCCACTCATGATTTCTGTGTGCCCCAGGACAGGAATTTGGAACATTTTAGCTAATAGTGTACAGCAGGTATTGTGCTTGCACCCAGTATGCTCTCACACTCCCTCTCCTGCTGGCATAAAGGGCCTGGCGACACCAACTGCCATGCAGTTCCTTTGCCACCTAGTCTGAATGTTTGAAGGAGAACTCACGAATATTGTACAATATCCTAATACAATCTGATATCCATTTTTAGAGTTTTTGTGATGAAATAGCCATCCCTTTGGATTTATTACTATAAACAACAAAAAGTTTTGAAGTCTTATTAATAGGTTTAGTTCTATCCAGGTAATATAACAATGATCTTCTCACATGTAAAGTATTTAATTTAGATTCAGCTGACAAGGAATGAGGTTTCTGGGGAAAAACCTGGTAAGTGAATAGACTGATTTATACGAAAGTCTGACAATACTTTTGGAATCAAAGACAGGTGAAGCCTCATAGTTATTCTAGCCATATCAAAAACTATGTTGGGAGTGTTGATCATGAAAGCTTGCAATTCACTTTCATTGACAATAGATGAACTGAATAATTGGATAAAGGTTCAAAAGTAGGTTCCATAAGGGTGGAGAGACTGGGAGGCAGGGAGGCTGGGATATTTGGCGGGCGGCTGCTCGGGCTCCCCGCTCAGGGCAGGGGGAGGGTCTGCCGTGGAGATGCTGGAGGGGCGGGGATATGGGCGGAGGGGCTGGGACATTTGACGGGGGGCTCAGTGGCAGAGGCATTTGGTGGGGGGCTGCTCAGGCCCCCCACCCAGCACAGGAAGAGGGTGTTCTGCGGCTCCCCACAGCTGCCAGCGCGGCTCTCCCTTACCTGGCTCCATCCGGGGAGGGTGGTGGCTTGGAGCCGCAGGCTATGGTAAGAGCTGGGCAGACAGCTGTGGGGAGCTGCAACAGACCCTCCACCTGCCTTGGGCGTGGAGCCCAAGCAGCCCCCAGGCAGCTCCCCAGGTCTCCCCCTCCCCCCCAGCCAGGCCAGTGTGGAGCCCAGCTGGGAAGCCTTGGGGAGCGGTGTCGGACCCTCCACCTGCCCGCAATGCGGGCGGGGGTGGGGGGCTGAGAGCAGCCCTGACTGTGTCCCCGCCCGCCAGGCTTACCGCCTGGCTGAGGGCAGGTGGAGGGTCTGTGACTCCACGCAGGCTCCCCACAGCTGCCCACGTGGCTGTCCCCGACCGGGCTCCGGCAGGGGGGATGCCTCGGGGCCTCAGCCTGGCCCCCAGTGTAGAGCCCTGCAAACCCACGAATATCTGCGGATATCCGCGGATATTTTTTGCGGATAGCGAATCGGATGCGGATACACGTTTGTGTATCCACGTAGGGCTTTAGGCAGTGCTCACGCCTTTTGCCATAGCCCCCTCCCCTCGCTAGATGAAGTGACACTGCCCCCCCCTCAGTTTCTTCACCCCGAACATCCATGAGATGAGATTCCAGTGCAGAGAGTACAGAGGGTGGATCATGGAATATACTCTGCATCACATCTCGAAGAATCACAGTTACAGTAAATAACCATTTCTTCCTCTTGCAAAAGATGCAGCCATGTATTCCACTTGAGTAATTCACAAGCTGTACCCCTCCCAAGAGGAGGGCCTTGGAGTCTACCTAAACAAGAATTGCAGGACCACCCTTATGAATCTTGTATCCGCCGTGGAAGATGTGGTAATGGCATTATGGTTCGAAAATGTATGTATGTATGACCATGTAACAGCCTTGCAAATATCCAATATGGAAATGTCACTGAGGATTGCTACAGACATTACTTGTGCTCTTGTTGAATGAGCTTGCACCCACTGAGGTGGCATAGCCAAAGCTATTTTATATGTAGTCTTGACACAAGATATTATCCATTTAGAGATGGTCTGTGAAGAGAACACTTGACCCTTCATGCGATCTGCATATGACACAAACAGGTGAGGAAAAGCATGAAATGGTTTAGTCCTATCCAAATAGAAGGCTAGGCATTGCCTGACATCTAATGTTTGGAGACGCTGCTCCTCCAGAGATGAATGTGGCTTATGAAAGAATACAGGGAAGTATACTGCCTGGTCCAAGTGAAACTGAGAGGCCACTTTAGACAAACATTTTTGGTATGGTTGTAAAGTCACCTTATCTTTGGAGAATCTTCTATAAGGAGACTCTGCCATCAGAGCCTGTTCCTTACACCCTCTCTTTGCAGATGTTATTGGAACCAGGAAAACAGTTTTCCAACAGAAGAGTGGAAAGGGACAAGATGCTGTGGGCTCAAAAGGAGGCCCCATTGGCACCACTATGGCTATTTAAAGGTCACACAGAGGAACTAGCTCTTGGACTGGCAGATGTAGGTGAAGAAGCCCTTTTAAGAACCTTGCTATCATGGGATCGGAGAAGATTGATCTTCCCTTGCTAGGGGGATGAAATACCAGTATCACTGCCAAATGCACTTTGAATAAACTAAGCTCAAGTCCCAAAGACTGAAGGTGCAGCAGGTATTCCAATATGTCCTGGATAGAAGACAGTATTGGTTGAATTCCATGGGCTAATGACCACACAGAAAACAGCTTCTCTTTTGCCATCTTACTCAGAGATGCAGCCACACGCAGTAACAGGTCCTAGTATGCTTTGAAATCCTCTGGTACCAAAGAGGAGGAACATCCCAGCACCACAGAACCATCCAGGGGTGAGAATGAGGCAGGTAGGTGTGCCTGAGCTGGATCCTGCTCCAGGGCTGATTGGTCCAGGCAGGACAACTCTGGAGGCTCCCTGAGGGGAAGCCTCACCAGTACCTGCAGCTGTGGTGAACTGACAGTCACTGCCATAGATGTAGTCAGTGGTCTTGGCCTTGAGCAGGACGAGGAGCGGGATCTCTGCGACTGAGGATCGTCCCATGGATTTTGTGGAGATTACTGGTATGCATAGGGCATTGGTGGCCCATAGGTGCCAGGGCAGGGGCTTCCATCAGATAACGAGATGTGTGCCAATCCTGGTACCCATAGTGTTCCATGAACAGCTCTCAATCAGGTGATGGGAAGAAAGAAAGAGGAAGGTCCTGACTCAATTATCGAGTGGTCCTGGGCTTTGGGGGATAGTGGTGAGCCAACCCTGAGGGTGTGAGTAGCTGGTCCCACTCATCCATAGCCTAGAATGACAAGGGGGCTGGCACCAACAGTGGAAATGGCACTGGCATCACTGAGTATGCCTTTGTTGCTTCCAGTGCAGGGAGTGGGGTTGACACCAGAGTCAGCATTGGTACTGAAGTAACCAATGATACCAAAGTTGAAGGCAGTGACTGCCAACATGGCAACACTTGTGGTGCCAGCCATAGGGGGTACCAAAGTTCCTAGTGCCATAGAGATCCTTGTGCTGGGTCTGGTACTGGCCCCATTTCCACTGAGTTTGGAAGGGAAGCATTTGGGTGAAGCACTGACAGACTCTTAAGTTCAGTGGCCTGGCCAGCCAATAGGGTTATAAAGGAGACAGCCCTGGCAAAGTTCTGGACCAACAGAGAGCTGAGGACAGAAAGGCAGAGGAGGTCCGCTATTGCCTGATATGTTGCCGGCATGGAAGTAGCTGGTGCCACTGTTGCCCTCATTGGTATCAGACTCAGTGGATGCCTCAGGGCTGGAACCGGGGTTAACAGTACAGGATCTCTGACCTCCCTGGTTGACAGGACATGCTCCATGCCGTGCACCAGGATTCATTGCTTCTTCTGGGGGAGGGAGATAAGTCCTGAATGACCGAGGCCACTCCATGTCCCGTCTTACATGACCTTTTCCTCGGTGCACTTGATGGGGAACTACTCCTCTGCCTCCTCAAAGAGGTGCCAGCTCCAGGATGCGAAGTGGCAGCATTCTCTGCACTAGAGGGCAACCTCTGAGCTGATGAGATCCTCTGTGCCAAAGCAGGCTGCCTGGCTTCTTCAAGCAGGTGCTGTTTCAGATGAAGATACCTTGCCACTTGAGTCTATTTCGTGAACGATCTGCAAATTGAACACTACTCCTTGACATTGGCTTCACCTAGACACAGCAAATACTCCACGTGGGATCGTTCCCAAAACAACAGACAATGTTTAAATCCTGGTGAGGGCAACACCAGGGAAAACTTCAACAACTACCTAACACTAAATCTAAGTAACTATACTCAGGGTACTAATTAACGATATACAATTAGAGAACAAAGTCACTAAATAGAAGAAGGTGAAATAAAAACCACACAGAGCTCTGACTCCAGCTACGGGCGATAAGAAGGAACTAAGGGAGGCTCGGGGCAGCACTGCCTGATATAGCCAGTGCAGGGGCTATGGCCATGAGATTATTGGTGAGTCAGGCTCTGTAGTAATCCTGAGATCTAGTGAGGACACAGAGAGGTGTCAAGAAATTACTTGTAAGGGACATCAGTGCTGAGGAAGCCGGTGCCACATCCCTCCATATTGAAGATTCCACAGAGGCTGAAACAGTCAGTGGTGAGTGGGATTTATTTAGTAATGGCAGTGCCAATATAGATGGCACTGGGATGACCATGCTGAACACCCTGGAGCTGTGAGGGATAGTGCCAACAACTCTGGTGTCATGGTGGAGTGTAACAAGTGCATCTGTGCCCTCCTATCCCCTCAAGCCTTCGGTACCAGCTCAGAAGGTTTCTGGGATGGTTCTTTATGGTGATGCAACACTGACAGCTCTGACCCTGCTTCTTCCCATGCCAACTCCAACAGCACGATTAAAAAACATTTCCTCCTACCCAGCACTAGAGACAGAGAATGGTGAAGAGAAGCTGACTTGGAGTCCAGCTCTCTCAGTCCTTGGACAGCAGGGATCCCTAACTGACTGAAGGATTTTGTAGAGTCTCTTTTGGTTTCTTTGCTCCTCCTGAGCTTGGTGTCATGTCTCTGGTAACATGCCTCTGTTCAGAATCCACCATAAACCTCATGCATTTTCCATGAGGAAAATGTTTATTCTAGTTTGTCTCTCCTTCCATGTATATTTCTTAATAATTTGCATATTGGACACTTAGCAATGATGGGCTCTTCATCCAAACAGTAGAGATACCTGTCATGGGTCTCTGTCAGAGGAATACCCCCTCTCCCTCATCTCCCCAGACACTCCTCAACAAGAGGGGCATGATTTAAAGCCAGGAAATCTGTTAGACCTGCAAGAGAGGTCTCCCTACTGAATGGGGAGCAAGCAGATACCGGAGACAGTGTTGGTATATAATACTTTAAATGCTCTTTATTGATTATAAAACAAACCTTACTCCACATTCATACCCCAAACATACTATTCCAGAGTCCAAAGATCAGAGTGGTCCTGATGGCTAGTCGACATTCCTTCCATCAGGATAAGTTCATAAGATGCGGGGAGCCGGCGAAAACCACATCTATATCCAGATGGGGCTCTAGATCAATAAATGACTCTGATTTGCAGAAGTCATAGGCAAACATTTATAGTCCATTCTGTCGCGACATCGGTTCTTTGCCTTTGTTTACTAGGCCTTCTACGCACACAATTCCAAAGAGACAATCCTGGCCGGTCTGCCATGATCCAAGATGTGCCACTTCCTCCAGTTCTAATATAATTTTATATTAGTCCAGCTGGTGTTATTTCATTTTCTGATGATTTCCTGTATTTTTCTTGGAACATAAGATTGTTTTTGCACAAATAGTTCTAATAGTCCTTGACCTTAAATTCTTGTTTCAGTTGCTAACTTGCAACGCACGTATTCATGTCAAGCATGCGTCATTCATACCAGGCCGCAATGACCTATAACATACTACATTGTGATGAATATATATATATATATATATATATATATATATATATATATCCCAACAAATCTAGGCTCAGCCATCATTCCCAGATACAGTCTATGCTCTATTATTTTTTATTTCTTTTTTTTTAAATATATTTTACTGCCAATGGGCTAAATGAAACATTAACAACTACAGGAAGTTAAACAAACTACAAACTTCTACTCTAACTACAAAGTAACAAAGTACAGTAGGGACACAATGTTATTCCAACTTTCTGTCTAAGCAGTGGGAAGGAACGGAGTGGCACTTGGGAGGGGGAGCACGAAGATGTAGCTGGTACATTCTGAACTCCTGTGATGGGGCACACAAGCACCTTTAGTGGGATCCAATTTTGCAGTAACTCAAAGAAGAATGCAGACTTCCTTTTATGCTGTTGGGGAAAAGATACCAATACAGGAGTTAAAGAAGTTGTACAGAAATGATGTTGTTTATAAATTTCCTGGGCCTTTTTGCATTTTTAAAGACAAACTTTAAAGCATTTAAAAACCACAGCTGAGAAAGTGAGTATTATGCACCTAGTAGACTAGATTGTACAGTCATAAAATAAAAATATAGTCACAGAAAAACAGATAAGTAGCTAGATAAACTCCTGTACACTCACCCAATGGAAGAATGAAATGGGCCCAATCATCCCATCAGTCACAAGCATGTAACTGCTGGGACAAATACCCTCCAGGTTTTTAAGCACTATTTTAACATTTGAGGATTTTGCTTCTAGATTAATATTGCAAACCCAGACAGATACCCAGGCAGAGCAGGCTTATCTCAAGCCTAACTATTCTCAGAGCATGTTGCAAGATACACCTTTTTGTACAAGCCTTCTTCCTGGAACATTAGCATGTGTCTTTTTATCCTGTGCTGGCATATACAGAGAAAATGAAGATTGATTTAGACAGTTTAGCACATTCAGGAGAGTAGGAGACATCCAGAGTCAGATTTTTAAAGGTATTTAGGTGCCCAAAGATAGGCAGCTAGTGGGATTTTTTAAAGTGCCTAAGCACCTAACTTCAATTGAAATGGGAATTAGGCACCTAGGAGCATTGGAAAAATCTGACTCTTATCATCTCTCCACATACCCCACAAAAGGGAAGAATATCTGTTGCCACTAATCACTCATGTCTTTTGAAGGATTAAGAAGGGGGTACCTACTGGTCTGCCTAAGCCACCTGTGGAGAACAGGTTGTCCTCAGAAGTGTCTTAGAAGCTTTTCAGGTAAGGGGAGGGAAGGAAACTTAGAGAGGGGAACAAGGGTTCAAGTCCTCCTCTGTATTTAATCCGTTCACAAATCTAACCGTACTTACTACAGTACCTTGTTATCACCACATGTTGTGCCATCTCTCACCGATCCAATGTCTACTACCTCCATCCCAACACTAAATTCTGTACCCCAACATAAAACATTGCCAACTGGAGTCTGAACTATGGACCCACGATAATTGCTTTGAGGTATTTTTTTAACATTAACACACTGTAGTCTTCCACACAAGACATCTCTGAAAGAAAAACAACAAGAACAATTGCTTCAAGATTTATACAGACATTTGAAGAATTCTGTATGGGAGTTGTGGTGTATCTTACCATGGAAGATTCAGAATCACTCCCATAAGACCTTCCCTACATCCTCTGTGCCTTGATAATCCCACTAATAGCCCAGCCTATGATTACTGACCTTTCTGCCATGGAGGATTGTGTCCAGTTCAATCAGGAGCTCATCAATATGGTTGCAGTTGGTAAAGAGGTGAGGGCAGAACAATGTGGGTTGCTGCCTCTGCCTCCTAGGCTGAGAGCAATGGGGAGAGGTGTGCACTGCTGGCCTGATGCTCAGGAATAAAGAATTGAACTAAAGACCTGAATTTGGAACCTAGTCTATAAGCCTACTGTTCTACTCCAAGCCCTATTACCATTCTCTGTAAAGTGCTCTGGTATGTATGAATGAAAGTAAAGTGATTTACCTGACAATACCTGAATTTCTTTGAGATGTATTGTATATATATATATATACACAATATATATATATTCTACTCTTGTTGCACATGAGCCACATGCACTCAAAATTGAAGTCTTTTGTCCAGCAGTAGTGTCTGGTGGGCCTTCCATAAACCCTGAGTGTCCTTGTGCTCGCATACCAAGGGCACAAAGGATGGAGCAGCTCCCAGTGAATTCCTTTGCCACTGCAGAATCTAGAGCTCTATACTAATAGATAAGATGGGCCATGAAATATATATATTTATAAATATATATTAAATAAATATATATATATGGACAACACATTTAGAAGAACTGCAGTTACTCCAGTTCTTTCTTTTTAAGGGCTTTTCCATATATATATTCCACTTTTGGTGACTCACAAGCAGTAACCCGAACTAAGTAGGTAGAAAAGACACATCTGACCTTGATGTTTCTACGATGGAATACTGATTTGTAAAAGTATGGATTGAACCCACCTAGCTGCCTGAAAGGAGTATGCTTTGTAAGAAAGCTACAGTAGTATGAGCCAGAATCCATCCTGTGTTAGAGTCTGTTACTGCAGCCATGTATTCTATTCTTTGCACCAGTGTTAATCTAGACTTTTCCTTGTTGGCTCTTAGGTGGACAGCAAGGAAGAAATGAAGAATCAGTTGGATGGTGGATTCCACCTACTGTGGTGACTTTCCCCGAACAAGCCAATAGTCCAGATAAATTACATTATTATACCCTATCTTCTTAGGTAAGACAACTGCTAGAAGCTTGATAAACACTACTGGCCTTGAATAGATACCAAAAGAGAGGGTCCTCTGAGACTATAGGGATTCTATCCAAGCTACAGGCTTAAACACTTCCTGTGCACTGGATGTGAAAGTGTGCGTCTTGCAAATTAAGAGTTGCAAACCAGTTTTGTGGATCTAGTGATGGAACAGTGGATGCCAGGATTACCGTTCTGAATCTGAAGTGATGGACGAAGGTATTGAGCTCCTTGAATCCAGAACGACGTGCCGATCTCCCTTCTTCAGGGTTATGAAATTATTGGAATAAAACCTTTCCCTCTGATATTGAGGCTGAGCCTTTTTTATTACTCCGAGAGACAGAAGTGAGAGCTCTCCCCAGTGCAACAGCCACCTTCCATGAGATGGGTCCCTGAAGAGGGAACAGGAAAGGTGGAGAGAGAATAAGAGCAGTATGGAACTGAATCCAGATGAGATTATTTCTAGGACCCAGCAGCCTGCTGGTAAATTCCATGCATCATGGAAAAAGCAGAGATGCTTCCAAAGTGGGAGGGGAAGAAGGGTCTAGATCCTGTGAACAGACTGTAGTGCAACTCTTGATCAACCCATCACAATGGCTGCTTGGGTGCAGATGAAGATTCAGTTGAGACTGTGTCTTGAGACAGGTCTCCTCTTTTGACAGCATTGCCCCTTTCGAAGAGGCTCTGAAGTTCTTTGGTGGAAGAAAGTGCTGGGCAAATGTCTTTGTCTTGATGAATTGCAGGATCTTCCTTATTTCTCTTCGGGGAAGAGTGTAGATCCAAAAAGAGCAAAGAGTGACTTGGGAGTCCTTCAGGAAGTGAAAGACATCAGCAGTCTATGTACTAAAATGTTCTGGACTGTCCAAAAGAAAGATCTTCCATGGTTCACTGGGTCTTTTGAGGAGATCTAGAACCCTAGAGCCAAGATATCCTCTTCATTAACACTGAAGTTGCCGTAGGTCAGGGTATGGTGTCAGCAGCATCCAGAGCTTCCTAGAGAGATGTTCTTGCAATTAATTGGTTCTGTGAAATTGATGGTTTAAACTCTTCTGATACCTTGAGGCAAATTTTTTATGAAGTGAGAGAATTTATTATAATTCAGAAAATTATAATAGGCACATAATGCCTAATAATTTGAAATTCTAAACTGAAGGCTTGCTGATGAATAACTTTAACATCCAAATAAATCAAGATGTTTTGGTATTTTTCTTTTGTTTTCATTTTTTGTTGTCTGTTCTTCTCACTGGCAGCAACTAGCACCACCAAGCCTGCTACCAAGTGTGTGTAAAAATATTTTTGTTAGGTTTTGTCTCTGGCCAGGAGGGAGTTTATAGCACTGTATACAGAAAGGTGGTTACCCTTCCCTTTATATTTATGACAAGGGAACAGGAAGATATGGCTATAAGCAAAGCTAATTTACTGGTCTGAGGCAGCTCCTGCTCAGAAATTTCCTCTGAATGTTCAGGTTGATGTACTGCTAGTTGAGAAACTGCAGTTTCCTGATAAGTAGCTGTCAAGGCTGATTCCCAACTCTGGCACTTCGAGTGCAGAAGTTGGGGGCCCACAAGGATTTTAAAAATTAATACTGGTCACTCCAGGCTGGTATTAAACTCCTAAGGTCACAGCTTCTCTCTGACCTTGGATAGGTACATGCTGCCACCACCCAAGTGCGAACCCCCCAACCTTTTGAGAACCCAGGAAGGAACACTTGGGAATTCCTTCCTGTGGGGCACCCTCAAGCCCTTTCACCCCCCTTCCCAGGAAAGGCTGAGAAAAATACAAAGGAAATCAGCTGTTGCCACCAGCTAATTAAACAACATATGCACAAACCTTTTAGGGACACAAAAATCCAATTCTGTTCTTAAAAAAGGTAAATTTTATTAAACCCAAAAAGAAAGGAAATACATTTGGAACTTAGGCTTTTTGCTAGATCTTAAAAGAAACAATTACAAAAATCAAGCATCAAGATAGCTCTCTTGAGGTTCAGCTTAAAGGTTACAAGCAAAACAAAAGCATCTGGGGTTAGCACAGAGGCGTCCACAAGCCAATAAGAAATAAAAGAAAAAACCCTAATCGCGTCTTCCTAGACATTCCCTAATTACTTACATATTTGGGGTTTCAGATAAGTAAGTTGAGGTATGATCTGATGCTTTTTCATACTTGATTTTAAAGCTTTTTACAGCATAGCTCCAAGCCCTCTCCTGCTCTGTCCCCTCTCTCTGGGGGGGGGGGGGAGCGGAAGGGAGGGGAGAGACAAAGGGAAGTTTTTTCTCCCAATTTTAAAAAGTTCTAGCCCTCCCATTGGCTCTTTTGGTCAGGTGCCCACTCCCTTTCTTTTACCCAGCCAGGGAGACTTTTTAACCCTTCACAGGTAAAGCAAGCAGATAACAGCCATCAAGAGGGACTTTATAGCTAACTGGCTGGCTGGGTGTCCATAAAAGGCAGCTACGCCCCTTCATTTATCACAGTAGCAAAGGAGGACTTATCCTCGGAGGTGATTTAAAGGTGTGATGTCTCAAATGATAAGGACCCCAGGTGTTCCAATAAGGGTGTGCTGGGATGTTGTAGGGGGAGGGGCCCGGGGGTCATGGGACAGGATACCAGGGCATATGTCTACCCTCATACTCCCTAAAAGAACAAGATCTAAATGAATCCCTCAATTTCCAACCTAGTTAATTCACATGAAGAGGCCTTAGGGGAATAATGAATGGATCCCCTGTCTATTATGTTGTGACTCAGAAGACAAAGAGAATAAACATTCCAAGTCTAGGGGAGGGGCTGCCAAAGCTGACGTACTAGGCTGAAAGATAAGTCTAGGGAGCTTGTTCTGAGGAGACACCCAGTGACAGTGTGACAGTGGGCATTGGTACTGTCGAAGGAATGTTATTTCTTGCAGGCAGTAAAGGAGATTCAGGCTTCTCTGACACTCATAAATCCCCTGGTACCACCTACTTTCTTGGTACCAACCAGAATGGTGTTGCAAAAAAAAATCACACTTGATGGTGCCGATATGGTAAGTACCGAAAAAAATCAGTATCAATATAAGCTCTATCAAAGTGGTCATTACCAACGATGCTCTACCATGACAGCCATCGTTGGAGTGCTCGGTGCTGAAGTAGCCATTTATTTAGTATGTCATTGCAGTACTGGGATTCTGGTACCATGCTCCTTCAGAGGTACTGCAGTACTTTAAGACAGTGGAATCTCATTGGAACAGGAGCTATGGGGTGACTTGGACCTCTTCTTAATATAGGTTTATGTAGGTGATCTCCCTCTTTACCTGAGGAGTGATGCTCCTTTCCCTCTAAAGACTTAGTTCTGCTGGTCCTAGCACATCTGAAGCTGAAGCCTTGAAAGACAGGGCCCAGGAGCGAACAGATCCTGAATTCACAGGGACGCACCTGAGGTGGATTTTGAGGACTTTACACATACCTGGATCTAAAGCCGGTTGCATAGAGCAGTCTAACAAAAGCAGCCAGTACATTGCTGGCTGAGAGATCCTGATCTTGAGCACATGGGACACGTGCACACCAAGAGTGGAACATATATAACCTGTTCTTCAAAACCTCCAATGATGGAGATTCCGCAACCTCCCTAGGCAATTTATTCCAGTGCTTAACCACCCTGACAGTTAGGAAGTTTTTCCTAATGTCCAACCTAAACATCCCTTGCTGCAATTTAAGCCCATTGCTTCTTGTCCTATCCTCAGTGGTTAAGAAGACCAATTTTTCTCCCTCCTCCTTGTAACAACCTTTTACGTACTTGAAAACTGTTATCATGTCCCCTCTCAGTCTTCTCTTTTCCAGACTAAACAAACCCAATTTTTTCACTTTTCCCTCATAGGTAATGTTTTGTTCACATCTTTCCTAAAATGTGGCTCCCAGAACTGGACCCAAGACTCCAGTTGAAGCCTAATCAGCTTGGAGTGGAGCAGAAGAATAACTTCTCGTGTCTTGCTTACAACACTCTGGCTAATACACCCCAGAATGATGTTTGCTTTTTTTGCAACAGTGTTACACTGTTGACTCATATGGACAAGCACTTGTAGAAATAGTAGTTTTCTTGTTATTGTCATCAGAGTTCTGACAGGGTCTATTGTGGTTGTCCTGTTTCAGGTCAGAGCTCAGATGGTCTCCCTTCCATGCATAGGAGAGAGCTGATGAGAGACATTTTTTTCCTGGATGGGGAAGGGGGTGAAAAGGTAAGGGGAGCAGGACAGAGGCCAAGGAGAGAAAGCATGGAGATTTTGGGAGGGGAAGGCTGAGGAGAGATCAAGGAGATATGGAGGTGGGCTAAAGAAAGATAGGAGAAGGAGGAGAGAATGAGGGCGAAAGGAATAAGAGGATTTCCAAGACAGTTATGAAATGAGAGAACCTTTGAGCATTTGGCTAATCTAAAAAGGGTCTCTCCTGCTCCAGCTCTGCAGAGTCATACAACCCACCACCTAATGAACACAGTTAGTCTGCTCCCTTTCAAAAACTACATCTCTGAGGATAGATTCCCTGTCAGCCTCCCACCCAGGGTCATCAGCTTAAATATCCTCCTCCACATCAAGAGCAATGGAGCAGGAAGCTCTAACTGTGGTACACGTGGGGCCGATATGTAATAATTTAGGAAAACTGATCTGTATTAATTTATTGTATTTAACCAGGTCATGGGGAATGTTTGCTGTCTGACTATATTGAAATCTTTACTGTATGCATATGGGGGTTTAGGTGAATAGCGGGCTGTTAGAAGGTAAAACACCCACCTCCTGGTAAAAAGGGCAGGAAGTGAAGAAACAATGCCTGTGCTATTAAGCTGTGAAGATGCTGCTCCCAGGCACCAGATAAATTACAAGATTTATTTTGCCAAGATTTGGAGTTAACAGATCAAAACGACAACAAACAGTTAAAAAGTCACTCTCTAAAAGGGAGTAGGGGAGTTGTCAGAGAAGTATTCAGAGGAGCAGACTCACTCAGAGACAGGCCCTGCGGGATAGGTCTAAAGCAACTGGGTCTTCCTAAGCTTTCAAAGGTATGACAAGCTTTAGATAACACAGGTATATATGGCACCTTTAGAGACTAACCAATTTATTTGAGCATGAGCTTTCGTGAGCTACAGCTCACTTCATCGGATGCATCCGATGAAGTGAGCTGTAGCTCACGAAAGCTCATGCTCAAATAAATTGGTTAGTCTCTAAGGTGCCACAAGTACTCCTTTTCTTTTTGCGAATACAGACTAACACAGCTGTTACTCTGAAACAGGTATATATATAGACCTTTTATTGTTTTCAAATCTTTTTTCTCTTATGCTGTGCTGTGTTCCTGCTTTTAAGAATCAACAATGCTTTGTTTTAAGAAGGTTGTCTGGTTATTGTATAAAACATTAGTCACAACTCAAGGGAAGTTTTGCTGGGCCAAATTCAGTCAGGCCTGCTGACAAATCCTGGTTGTTACACACAGGGCTGTAGCCTGAGACCAGTCGGAAGGGTGGGATAATCATGGGATGCTACCCCAGGACAGGGGAAGTCAAGAGGGGAGTATGTTCAGAGAGACTAGAGGAGTCAAAGGTGCAGCGAGCTCTGTAACTGTGACACTAACTTCCTGGCTGTTTAGAAGAAAGGTGGATACACTGCAGTCAGGGAGCCTCAGTGCTGCAGGGAAATTCCACCCAGTCTGCAGGTGAAATAGGTTGTGTATTACTTTCAACTAAAAATTGAGAAGGCAGGACATACTGCAGGATGAGAGCCACATCTCCATCCAGTGATCCTTTGAATGAGAAAGGCAAAGTAAAATGGACACTTCTCTGGGCAGAACTCTGCATTAATTAATTCTACAGGAAGGAAAAGACTTAGGGATATAATCATCAAAATGAACCAAAGGCAAACCCAAACTGACCCATGGCAAAATCAAAGCTTGGCTTAGTTAACAAGAAAGTTATTACCACATACTGGGAGGCAGGACAAGTGGGCAAGATCAACTATCCAGCCTCCATTTACAGAGGATGAGAAATATGAGGCAAATAGGCCTGCATATACAAACTGAATCCCCAAATTATGATTATTTTTAGGAGGAAAATACTTTTTAATGTCTCAAAGTTAAAATCTAACTTTTCATCTAGATTGTGGGTGAAAAAATGCTGTTCAAAGTTGAGCCCCTGAGTACCAAAATATAAACGGGAAGTTACAGCATCTGTTTGTAGAATAAGGAACTGTGCTCTATGTGCATGGCTGAGTGTATGTACAATTGGTGCTTTCCTATTATTTCAGTTACAACTTTTTACCAGCCTTGCATTTTTAAAAAAATACATTTTTGAGTTGTGGCATTTTAGGATGGTTGATCTAACCTCTGTGAACTGACCCATGACTTCAACAGACTAAATACACTTTTCATCTATGTAATTTCTGAAATTACTGGATTGGGCTAGTTCTTCACTTACTTAGAGGTGAACTAATCAAACCCAATTGGGTAATGCCAGTGACCTTAGAAGGAGAGTGTCCCATTCTGATTCACCAAATGATTCCTGAGGACTTTCAAGGGGAAGGAACCACCTGGCTACCATCTTCAAAAACTGAAGGAACGGAAGAAGGCTTGCTGCTCACTTACTGGCTTCAAACCATGGCTTGCTTGCCTGCAATAGTTGTTACTATGACCTTGGCTGCAGGGCTCTGGTTATACAATGTTATCATGTCTGACAAAAAGGCCTGTGCTTCCCTCATCCTCCCAGAGGCCACTGAGGGGTAGGAGTCTAGTAACAAGCAATATGTAAGATTCAACATCTACAAGCAAGTAAGCTCTAGCCACCTGCAAGTCCATTCATATAAAACAGCAGAGCTGACAAGACCACTGACTAATCTTTTCAGCCATGTGTCAGCTCCTGAGGTAGAATGAAATCACAAGAGTTGTGACAGCCATTGCCACTGCCCAGGCTGGCATGTTGTAAACTACCTTTCAAAAACCAAAGCACCCTCCTCAAACCCACTGTGGGTGAAAATGAAATGCTTAAATAAACTGTACCTCTGGTGAAATGCTGCTGAGTCTCCTCTCACTTGTCTATGACTTATTCTTCTACACTACTTCTTAAAATGCGGTTTTTTATTTACAGTGATTTCTCCTGAGTACATTTTCCAGTAGATCATACAGATCAATGTAAACAACTTACTTGTGTTGGCACTTCTTGTAAGCAAGACCATCCCCACCACAGTTGCCACACCGGTCACCTTTAGTGTTCACTGTTTTGAAACAACTCAGTGGGGCCAGATGTGCTTCTGCAAAAGGGGGAGAGGAAAAGCACAAGGTAAATGACAAGGCAGAAATAAAGTGCATGGTGCATTGTACTAACCCCTCCAATCATTTCAAGGGCTTGAAGAAATGGAGGTTACTCACTGTAACCCGAGCTCTTTGCGATGGACTCGGCATAGTCACATGCATGGGAGGCACCGCCGGTGCAGCTGTGATGGTGGAACCTTTGGATAGCAGTGTCTGTTGGGGCACTCTCACACTCTCTTCTACCGCTGCCCTCATTGTTCCTGAATATTCTGAGGGCAGGACTGTAAAAGGGGACATGGCGCTCCATCCGCCTCAGTGCTTTCTGCTGCCTCCTCCAAATCCCAGGTTGTCTTTAGGACTTGGAGGAAGAGAGGAAAGTGGGGTAGGAGTGTGAATATGAAGAGTCCCTCTTCAGAAACACTGGTCATAAATGAGTAACCTCCATTTCTTCTTTGAGTGTCCTATACATATTCTCAGTCACGGGATAGTCAAGCATTACTCCTGTTAGACAATGGTGGGTCCTAATTAAAGAGGGATTGAAGTACTGCCCTGCCAAATTGTGCATCCAATTTGGGTGCTAAGTCCAAAGAATAGTGTTTTGTAAACGTGTGCATGGAACTTCAGGTTAAAGCCCTATAGATCTGTATGAAAGGAATATGTGTAAGGCATATCATTGAAGCTGCGTTGGTCCTAGTGAAATGCGACCTCATTTTCGGAGGGACAGGGTTCAATACTAAAGTGCTGGCCTCACGAAAGCACAACCTAACTCATTTTGAGAGTGTTGGAGATGTGATCACTTGACCCTTTTTATTAACAGTATAGGGAATGAATAGATGACGGCACTTTCTGAATGTACAGTCTGATTAAACTGAAGTCCCTTTTGCATCTAAAATGTGAAGCTTATTTCTCCTACATGTGTATGTAGGCTGGATAAAACCACTGGCAATTAAGCACTTCAGGTAGGAATTTGGGATAGGAATGTAGCACAACTTTGTCCTTATGCAAAACAGTGAATGGTGGGTCAGTCACAAGGGAGTGAAGTTCACTAACTCTTCTGGCAAATGTTATGGCTATAATGAAAGGTGCTTTAGCCAAGAGGTGAAATAAAGAGCTTTCTGCCATTGGCTCAAATGGAGGTTTAATTAGCTACGTGAGGACGATGTTGAGGTCCCGTGCTAGAGAAGGGTCTTTAACTGGTGGAAGGATTTTCTTAACCCTTTCATGAATCTCTTAACTGTGTTGTGTGTGAATACATGAGAGAATGGTATACTGATATAACTGCTAGATGCAAATTAACTGATGATAAAAAGAGACCTGAGAGTTTCAGCTGTAGCAAATATTCTAAGATATGCTGAACCGGGGACATTGTTGGGGCTACATTATGACTGTTTGGCCAGAGAACAAATCTCTTCCATTTGAGGCTATTACACTCCAGTATTGATTCTTTCCAAGAGTTGAGTACGACATGTACTGGACAACAAGATTGTTCTATCAAAGCCCAGGCCATCAGATATACAGAATATAGGTCTGGGCAATCTACTTTTCTGTTAAGTCAACAGATCTGGTGTAAGAGGGAGAGATTGGTAAACTCCTTTTGATAGCTGAAGGGGGTCTGGGAAACACTGTACTTCTTTGCCAATCAGTGCCTGAAATATCTCATTTTTGAACAAGGTGTAATGTGTTACATATGTAGCTGAGGCCATAAAGGTCAATTTGCATTTGCCCTATATTACTGACTTCCCCAATCCAGACAACTAAAACCTCAGTGAGTACATAACCCTTTAACACCATGGTACCGTATGCCATAAAAACTAGAACAATATAAAATACATTAAATGGATTAAAAGTGAGCCAATACATCTTAAAATGTAATTGTAAACGGGGAATCACCATCTAGTGGGGTCCTGCAGGGATTTGGTCTTGGCCCTGTACTATTTAACATTTTTATCGATGAACTAGAAGAAAACATGAAATCACCACCGAAAAAGAGTGCAGAATACACAAAAATTGGAGGAGTCGTACATAATGAAGAAGACAGATCAGTAATATGGAGCAGTATAGATTGCTTGGTAAACTGGGAAGAAATAAACAATATGCATTTTAATGTGCTAAATGTAAAATGTATACTTCTAGGAACAAAGAATGGGGGACTCTACCCTGGGAAGCAGTGAGTCTGAAAAAGATTTGGGGAGTGTGGTGGATAATCAGCTGAATATGAGCTTCCAGTGCAATACTGTGGCCAAAAGGGCTAATGCAATCATTGGATGCACGAACTGGGGAATCTCCAGTAGCAATAGAGTGTCAGAGACGCAAATATAGGTGGTCATGCCTACTCAGAACCAAAGTCAGAAGTGGGCTTCTGGCCAGAATTGGAGCTGAGGGTCAGAGCTAGGTTATCTCGAGTGAGGCAAGGCAAAGACAAGGCCAGAGCCAAGACAGGAACCAGGCTGGTTCCAGGGCAGGAGCAGGGCTGCGTCCCAGGCAGGTGCAGGGTTGGAACAAGGTGGGATCAGGGCTGGGAACAAGCAAGCAGAGGGCCGTGGGCAATCCAGTTTCTCAGGTTACTTCTGAGGGAGCTCTTGTAACAGGTCTGGGATGTGCATGTTCTTTACAGGTTCCCAAGACTGCTCATCTGGACCACAGCCTTCCCAGTCACCAGGTGCTGGTACTTTGCCCTAAATCGCTGTGAGTCAATGTCAAGATTCCTCCCCCACGCTGAACTCTAGGGTACAGATGTGGGGACCTGCATGAAAAACCTCCTAAGCTTATTTTTACCAGCTCAGGTCAAAACTTCCCCAAGGTACAAAATATTCCACCCTTTGTCCTTGGATTGGCCGCTACCACCACCAAACTAATACTGGTTACTGGGGAAGAGCTGTTTGGACGCGTCTTTCCCCCCAAAATACTTCCCAAAACCTTGCACCCCACTTCCTGGACAAGGTTTGGTAAAAAGCCTCACCAATTTGCCTAGGTGACTACAGACCCAGACCCTTGGATCTTAAGAACAATGAACAATTCTCCCAACACTTGCACCCCCCCTTTCCTGGGAAATGTTGGATAAAAAGCCTCACCAATTTGCATAGGTGACCACAGACCCAAACCCTTGGATCTGAGAACAATGAAAAAGCATTCAGTTTTCTTACAAGAAGACTTTTAATAAAAATAGAAGTAAATAGAAATAAAGAAATCCTCCCTGTAAAATCAGGATGGTAGATATCTTACAGGGTAATTAGATTCAAAGCATAGAGAACCCCTCTAGGCAAAACCTTAAGTTACAAAAAAGATACACAGACAGAAATAGTTATTCTATTCAACACAGTTCTTTTCTCAGCCATTTAAAGAAATCATAATCTAACACGTACCTAGCTAGATTACTTACTAAAAGTTCTAAGACTCCATTCCTGGTCTATCCCCGGCAAAGACAGACTATAGACAGACACACAGACCCTTTGTTTCTCTCCCTCCTGCCAGCTTTTGAAAGTATCTTGTCTCCTCATTGGTCATTTTGGTCAGGTGCCAGCGAGGTTACCTTTAGCTTCTTAACCCTTTACAGGTGAGAGGAGTTTTACTCTGGCCAGGAGGGATTTTAAAGGGGTTTACCCTTCCCTTTATATTTATAAAAAGAAAAGGAGTACTTGTGGCACCTTAGAGACTAACCAATTTATTTGAGCATGAGCTTTCGTGAGCTACAGCTCACTTCATCATGTAGCTCACGAAAGCTCATGCTCAAATAAATTGGTTAGTCTCTAAGGTGCCACAAGTACTCCTTTTCTTTTTGCGAATACAGACTAACACGGCTGTTCCTCTGAAACCTTTATATTTATGACAGTCAAGGATTCAGTGGACCAAGTATTCCTCCTTTCCATAGACTGTTATGGGCTTTGGTTGGCAGGTTGGAACAGTTTGAGTTTGGATTCTCAATGCAGGGCTTTAAAAGTGAGATGTGAAAGATGGGGTAGATCTTCAAGGACTCGGGCAGCTGTAACCTCTGGGTTTACCTGTTTTATAATCTTGAAAGGGTCCAGGTGTTGGTAGTCTAGTTTGGCGGATAGGTGGCTCAATTTAAGGTTCTGGGTGTGGTAGAAAGAGAGAGCCTGAGACATGAGGCCTTGTATAAGAAGCCCACTCTGAGGCCTGAGGCCTGAACTAAGGTAGTGGTCAAGCCCTGCTACTATAAAGCAAAATTACCAAAAGTCAGGCTGTGAGCAGAAGCCAGGCTCTGTCTGCGTGCTGGCTCATGGACACTGGCAAGAACAGGGCTGGTATTGCAAAAACACACACATTCCTGAGAAGCGCTAAGCACAGGACACTCATGCAAGCACATTCCAGAAGGGTGGTACCAAGTATGGTATGAAAACACTCCCCTAAGATGATACAAGGACACGCTGACCCCCTCTTAAAGATAAAGTCAGATAACAGGGTGATGGATATAGATGATTAGATTGAACCAACATGTACAAGGTAAAGGGTGGTAACTAACCACATCAGAGGGGCAGTAACTAGCTACATCAGAGGGCAATATGTAACTTGTTTGTATCAGTGTATAAAATGGAGTCTCAGAGGGAGTGTCTTTGGCCATCCTAGGGGGGAATGCAAAGTCCCGCCATTCACTGAGCAGAGTCCATTGTTACAGGAATACACATATTAGTGGTCCGGTAGAGTCTGTGGGATAGTAGTACTGTGCTTTGTTGACAATAAACCTGGCTGGGTGCCTTCACTACTAATCTGAGTCTTGTGGTCTTTGTGGGCAGTTCTATCAAGGTCTGCTGTGTCCACTACCTGCTCAGAGCTGGGACAGCACACTGAAAGAACACACACACAGCCAACATCTGACAACATTGGGCAGAGACCCACACCTTGTCCCCTACAGCCAGATTGGGGGCAGCCTGATGATCTTGGTCCACATGGTGTTAATAGGCCTTTTTGACTGTGTTCCCTGAGCTCCTGGTGCACCTCATGTAGGTGGGAGGCTAAATCCATGGTGGCCAGTACTGGGGAACTTATGGGTAAGTGGGGCTGAAAACTATAGTTTGCAAAGGATGTGCTATATTGGGTCATGACATGATTTGCATTCTTATATGTGAACTCAGCACAGCACAGCAGGGGGAGCCTGAAAGGAATCAATTGCAAAACATTCCAGCATTCTAACGCTGGAGATTGCATTTAGTTATATTGTGATACATGCCTTAAAATGTAACTGAAATGAAAAACTGATTTGGCTAAAAGTGAAAATCTATTTATGATATGAGAATGTGTATATGTACTGCACACTTAAATGCTGCACAGTAAAAACAGTGAACAAACACTGAGTATCATTGTAAACAAAGCAAACACCTGGCAACTGGAGATTTTACACCTATTTGCAACATTAACCTTTCAGACCAAAGTAGGAATTGAGGGTGATTTACATTCTTTCTGGGTATCTCAATACCCCATCTCTTATGCTCCAAAATGTAGCCTGGCCCCTCAACATTTCTTTTGTCCTCAGTCTGTCCTACTCCCTCTACTCTTTAAAGTGAGCCCTTCCCATATCAATAGTCTGGATCTAGCACCTTCTGTAGTCAAAGATGACTCCCTTACCACTTAAGCAGGCATCTCATCCAACTTTCCCAAATCACCTATTCCCAAACGCCAGCTGCTTTGCTATCAAGGAGCCACTCCCGACCTCTACTGTTACTTCCTGGGTTGAGGGAGTGTGAAGGATCTAGCAGCAGAAGTTGGGCACATTATGAATGTTTAGGTATGACAGTTGGGTGACCAGATGTCCTAATTTTATAGGGCCAATCCCGATATTCGGGCCTTTGTCTTATTTAGGAGCATATTACCCCTCTCCTTCTGTCCTGATTTTTCACACTTGCTATCTGGTCACCCAATATTACAGTGACTGGTGCTATAGAATAAACTAACATGTAGGTATGATGTTCAAGATTCACTAATTAGACAGGATAAGTTCAGGGAGAAGGGGGGGTTGCCAGCAGAGGGCAGGCAGTGTCACTCAAGACTCACTGCATCCAGGAATCTTGACTTGACATTGCCTCCCAGTAGGCATACAAACTCTCCCTTCCTCTATGGCAGAGACACCTTCCCAAAAGGAGAATTAGCCCATCCCCAGATGGCAGCCATTTAAGAAGTTACCAGTTTCCTAAGAGTTAAGTGATGCTATTATTTATTTTTATATACAACCAGGGAAAACTTGCCTTTGCCAAATATAGCTTTGCACTGTCTCTCATGGCTGGGGCATCTCCTTTGGAAACAATGGACATTGTCACCACACGGAGTTCCATCTTGCTTAAACACATCCTTTGGGCACCATTCTGAAGTCCCATTGCAGTACTCAGGTAGGTCACACTCACCAATTCTTTCTCTGCATATTTTCCCTTCTCTATGAAACTGTTGAAAATAATAATACAAAGATCTGAAGGTGATTTCTCTCAGGAAGCCTATCCCACAGGCTGTCATTAAAATGTTGTTTTAGCAGTTCCCTAACATCTAACCTGTAGTTACTTAGCCATTTGTCTTAACACAGCTCAGGTAAAAGGAAGATGCAAAATAAATACATTAAGTAGAACTCACTTTCTTGGTCTTATGTTGACATTTATCACAGTGCATTCCAATTCTAATCTTTAAAATAATTGTAATTCTTTTCCACTCCAAAATGATGATTAAACTCTTAGTGCTTTTAATAATTAACAATGATCAAAGAAAATATTGATTCTTGCCTATCTATTCATTTTCTTTTGCATGTTGGGTCTGCCGAGGCTAGGCCTGGGGTCACATCACTAACAATGCACAACAGCTGGAGTTAACAGTCACTGGTAAGTGGGGGAAGGGACTCAGCCAGCAATTTACTGAACAAGCACTTCATATCTTTTTACAGCATTAGAATGTCTGGCGTAAATGAGGGTCAGATCAGCAGATCCCCTATGTCAAAGAAAAGAAACTGATAGCTGAGGGGTGGGCAAACTTTTTGGCTGAGGGCCAAATCAGGGTTGCAAAACTGTATGGAGGGCCGGGCAGGGAAGGCTGTGCCTCCCCAAACAGCCTGGCCCCTGCCCCCTATCCGCCCCCTCCCACTTCCCGCCCCCTAACTGCCCCCCTCAGAACCCCTGACCCATCCAACCCCCCCCGCTCCTTGTCCCCTAACCACCCCCCCAGAACCCAACCCCCTTCCTGTCTCCTGACTGCCCCAACCTCTATCAACACCCCCGCTCCCTGACAGGCCCCCTGGGACTCCCACGCCTATCCAACCCGCCCTGTTCCCCGTCCCCAGAACCTCCGCCCCATCCAACCGCCCCCTGCTCCCCCGTCCCCTGACTGCCGCCTGGGACCCCCTGCTTCTTATCCAGCCCCCCCGCTCCCCGCCCCCTCACCATGCTGCTCAGAGCAGCAGGAGCTCGCAGCCCAGCCACCTGGCCGGAGCCAGCCATGCCATTGTGCTGCCCAGCAGGAGCGGTGGGCCAGAGCTGAGGCTGCGGGGACGGGGGACAGCAGGGGAGGGGACGGGGGCTAGCCTCCCTGGCCGGGAGCTCAAGGGCCAGGCAGGATGGTCCCGCGGGCCAGATGTGGCCCGTGGGCCGTAGTTTGCCAAACCTCTGTGATAGCTTGACAGGTAGGAATTAAACCTCTCTCTTCTGGAGTACTGAAGCTGCTGAGCCTGTGTATCTGGGCATCAACATGAATGATTCAGGTTGCTAAAGGTTATCACATTTTTATCTCACCTGACAGTTTTCACAGCAGAGTCCAGAAATACAGGCAGCACCTGGCTTTACCGTACAATTGGCTAGGCAACAACCATTCCGTAGGCACACCTTCAAATACAAAATGAAATAGCTCCTCACTATAACAATCTGCTGCAGAGTTCTCCTGGCATAGCACTGCTCTCATACTTTATCGTTTTACTGAATGTCATTAGTGCTATTTCTTTCAAATAGTAATAAAGTTAGTGAAGTTGAGAGACAAATTCCCATTCCCCACCAGAGTTCAAATCATATAGATTTAAAAGAAATATTAAAATTTTAGATCCAAATGCTACACAAGAAATCCAAAGAGAATGCTACCGTCTAGAGAGGAAGTATAGTCCAGTGGTTATGAGAGTAGCCTAGTACTGAGAAGACTGGGTTTATTTCCATGCTTTGCTGTAATCTTCATGTGAGCTTGAGGACAAGACACTCAGAGAACGGAGGCACAGAAAAACTATTTGTGAACAGGGATAAGAGTACTTCCCTATCTCCTTGGGGTCTTATGAGGATAAATACATTTAAAAGATTGTGAGGTGTTCAGATTCTACAGTGATGGGGGTCACATAAGTACCATAGACGGATGTAATATTTCTAATGATTTGAAGACATGTGCAAACAATCTTCAATAGTTTTATTTTATGTATGCTTTTAAAAGCAGATTCACCAGGACACTAAAGAAGCATTCAGCAGCCAAAGCGCACTCGAGAATCTGGTGCTCAATTTGTAATTTACCTGCTGGTTTAGAGGGTTGCATTAGTGAGACTGGTCCTATGTGCAGTTAGGTATGGGGATAGCGTAGTCCCGGGGTCTCAAACTCAAATGACCACGAGGGCCATACGAGGTCTAGTACATTAGCCCGAAGGCCGCATTACTGACACCTCCCCCCATGCCGCCCTCGGCCCCACCCCCACTCCACCCCTTTTATGAGGCCCTGCCCCTGCCCCGCCTCTTCCCACCCCTTCCCTGCCCCCATTCCAATCCCTTCCCTGAGGGCCGGAGCTGCTCTAGGTAAGTGCTGGGTGGGACAGGGGGACCGCAGGGAGCTGGCAGGCCACAGGAAATAGCCCTGCGGGCTGCATTTGGCCCACAGCCCATGTGTTTGAGACCCCTGGCGTAGTCCCTGAGTCCCAATGTTTCTGGGTTTTAAGGGCTTCCCCTGTACCCCCGTCTTAGTTCTCCTGGTACTGCTGCCAAAATGGGAGTGGTGCTAAGGCAACAATGGCATGGAGAGCCTTACAGGCACTGATGCAGCCATGGAACCTTTAAAGAGCAGTGACAGTTGGGCCAAGTAAACTAGATGTGTCCAGTCTCCGCTCGGACCACTGAGTCATTACAGCCAACAGCACTGTTGCATACAGATTAGCTGCAGAAGAAATTTGGCAACTGGTGTAGTTAGTACTGATGTCACAATGGCCCCAGTGAAGAGTTACCCAAGCTCTTAACCTGAGCCTATTAACGGCCTATTATGGTGACAAAGGTGTTGGTAACAACTTCATAATGTAGGTTGAGTTCCATTCTGCACTTACAGCAGGGATTCAACTGCTTTGGTATACATGAAAAATACAGCACCTCCTTCCCAAAATGGTAGCACTTACTCTCTCAATAGAGACTGAACTAATTTTCTAAGAATTTACAATTTTAATTAGTTCATGGGTTAAAATTAACGATAAACTAGGTCCTTTAAGAAATTTAGCCTCCCCAGGGAAGAACCCAAGGAAGGCAAAGAGGATACAGATGAGTCATTTATGTCTAAGCTAAAGAGCTTATTCCCATGAGCCTCTGGGGTTGCTGGTAGGGAATCATAGAATCATAGCACTGGAAGGGACCTTGAGAAGTCATCTAATCCAGTCCCCTGCACTCATGGCAGGACTAATCCCTGACAGGTTTCTGCGTAACCTACTCTTAAAAATCTCCAATGATGGAGATTCCACAACCTCCTTAGGCAATTTATTCCAGTGCTTATTCCACCTTGACAGACTAAAGAAACCCAATTTTTTCAATCTTCCCTCCTAGGTCATGTTTTCCCAGACCATTAACCATTTTTGTTGCTCTTGTCTGGACTTTCTCCAATTTTTTCACATCTTACATGAAATATGGTGCCCAGACCTGGATACAATGCTCCAGTTGAGGCCTAATCAGCGTGGATTAGAGCAGAGAATTACTTCTCGTGTCTTGCTTAAAACATAAGAACATAAGAATGACCATACTGGGTCAGACCAAAAGTCCATCCAGCCCAGTATCCTGTCTACCAACAGTGGCCATTGCCAGGTGCCCCAGAGGGAGTGAATTTAACAGGTAACGATCAAGTGATCTCTCTCCTGTCATCCATCTCCACCCTCTGACACACAGAGGCTAGGGACACCATTCCTTACCCATCCTGGCTAATAGCCATTAATGGACTTAACCTCCATGAATTTATCCAGTTTTCTTTCAAACCCTGTTATAGTCCTAGCCTTCACAACCTCCTCAAGCAAGGAGTTCCACAGGTAGACTGTGCGCTGAGTGAAGAACTTCCTTTTATTTGTTTTAAACTGGCTACCGATTAATTTCATTTGGTGGCCCCTAGTTCTTATATTATGGGAACAAGTAAATAACTTTTCCTTATTCTTTCTCCACACCACTCATGATTTTATATACCTCTATCATAGCCCCCCTTACTCTCCTCTTTTCCAAGCTGAAAAGTCCTAGCCTCTTTAATCTCTCCTCATATGGGACCCGTTCCAACCCTAACCATGTTAGTTGCCCTTTTCTGAACCTTTTCTAATGCCAGTATATCTTTTTTGAGATGAGGGGACCACACCTGTATGTAGTATTCAAGATGTGGGGGTACCATGGATTTATATAAGGGCAGTAAGATATTCTCTGTCTTATTCTCTATCCCTTTTTTAATGATTCCTAACATTCCGTTTGCTTTTTTGACTGCCACTGCACACTGCGTGGACGTCTTCAGAGAACTATCCACGATGACTCCAAGATCTTTCTCCTGATTAGTTGCAGCTAAATTAACTCCCATCATATTGTATGTACAGCTGTGGTTATTTTTTCCAGTGTACAGTTCTTTACATTTATCCACATTAAATTTCATTTGCCATTTCGTTGCCCAATCACTTAGTTTTGTGAGATCTTTTTGAAGTTCTTCACAGTCTGCTTTGGTCTTAACTATCTTGAGCAGTTTAGTACCATTTGCAAATGTTGCCACCTCACTGCTTACCCCTTTCTCCAGATCATTTATGAATAAGTTGAATAGGATTGGTCCTAGGACTGACCCTTGGGGAACACCACTAGTTACCCCTCTCCATTCTGAAAATTTACCATTTATTCCTACCCTTTGTTCCCTGTCTTTTAACCAGTTCTCAATCCATGAAAGGATCTTCCCTCTTACTCCATGACAACTTAATTTACATAAGAGCCTTTGGTGAGGGACCTTGGCAAAGGCTTTCTTGAAATCTAAGTACACTACGTCCACTGGATAGCCCACATGTTTCTTGACCCCCTCAAAGAACTCTAATGGATTAGTAAGACATGATCTCCCTTTATAGAAATCATGTTGACTTTTGTGCAACAATTTATGTTCTTCTATGTGTCTGACAATTTTATTCTTTTCTATTGTTTCAACTAATTTGCCCGGTACTGACGTTAGACTTTCCGGTCTGTTATTGCCAGGATCACCTCTAACCAGTCCTGTTACAGTTACTTCTTAGACCAGACCCTGTGCTCCACTCAGGACTAGATTGAGAGTTGCCTCTCCCCTTGTGGGTTCCTGTACCAGCTGCTCCAAGAAGCAGTCATTTAAAGTATCAAGAAATTTTGTCTCTGCATTTCATCCTGAGGTGACATGTACCCAGTCAATATGGGGATAATTGAAATCCCCCACTATTATTGACTTTTTATTTTGATAGCCTTTCTAATCTCCCTTAGCATTTCTTCTTCATTATCACTGTCCTGGTCAGGTGGTTGATAATAGCGCCCTACTGTTATATTCTTATTAGAGGCATGGAATTATTATCCATTGAGATTCTATGGAACATGTGGATTCATTTAAGATTTTTATTTCATTTGATTCTACATTTTCTTTCACATATAGTGCCACTCCCCCGCCCCCCCACATGACCTGTTCTGTCCTTGCGATATATTTTGTACCCCGGAATGATTGTGTCCCATTGATTGTCCTCCCTCCACCAGGTTTCTGTGATGCCTATTATAGAATCATAGAATATCAGGGTTGGAAGGGACCTCAGGAGGTCATCTAGTCCAACCCCCTGCTCAAAGCAGGACCAAACCCCAACTAAATCATCCCAGCCAGGGCTTTGTCAAGCCTGACCTTAAAAACTTCAAAGGAAGGAGATTCCACCACCTCCCTAGGTAACGCATTCCAGTGCTTCACCACCCTCCTAGTGAAAAAGTTTTTCCTAATATCCAACCTAAACCTCAACCACTGCAACTTGAGACCATTACTCCTCGTTCTGTCATCTGCTACCACTGAGAACAGTCTAGATCCATCCTCTTTGGAACCGCTTCAGGTAGTTGAAAGCAGCTATCAAATCCCCCCTCATTCTTCTCTTCCGCAGACTAAATAATCCCAGTTCCCTCAGCCTCTCCTCATAAGTCATGTGTTCCAGTTCCCAAATCATTTTTGTTGCCCTCCGCTGGATGCTTTCCAATTTTTTTGCACCCTTCTTGTAGTGTGGGGCCCAAAACTGGACACAGTACTCCAGATGAGGCCTCACCAATATCTAATAGAGGGGAACGATCACGTCCCTCCATCTGCTGGCAATGCCCCTACTTATACATCCCAAAATGCCATTGGCCTTCTTGGCAACAAGGGCACACTGTTGACTCATATCCAGCTTCTCATCCACTGTAATCCCTAGGTACTTTTCTGCAGAACTGCTGCCGAGCCATTCGGTCCCTAGTCTGCAGCGGTGCATGGAATTCTTCTGTCTTAAGTGCAGGACTTTTCCTTGTTGAACCTCATCAGATTTCTTCTGGCCCAATCCTCTAATTTCTCTAGGTCCCTCTGTATCCTATCCCTACCCTCCAGCGTATCTACCTCTCCTCCCAGTTTATAT